GAGTAGATAAATAATTCGATTCAAAAGCATAAGGGTAAAAATGCATCGGGTTTTTTGGAAGCAATTTGGCGAGCTCCCGTCCAACAGTTGATTCACTTAATTTGGACCTTGAGGAAGTATCGAGGGGGAAAAAGGTAAGGCTTGACCAAAACCAAACTGCCTCGAGAAGAGCTGGGGATAATAAGTAACAAGATGAAGGTCCTTTGATTGAAAACCCGATACCAGAACGTCTTGGGTTAGATAATTACTCCACACGTCGACCAGTTCTGATTGTAACCCGGGAGTTAAGGCAGGGAATTTTGACTTAAACCATACTGGCCCTCGAAGCCTGTCACTTACTTTCCCTTGATATACGGTGAAGGGGGCCAAGATTGAATCAAAATGGAATCGAGTTAATAAAAATCTTAGGTAATTGTGATAAGTGGCCTCGTCGGGTTTGTGGTGAGGATGTCGAGAGGACAATCGAGCACCTTCCAAATTTAAACTTGGGGGAATGTTGGAGGTTGGAGAGATAATACTTTCAAAAATTGAGGTGAGCCATAATTGAATGAACCAAATAGGACCTGAAAAATTCCCCGAGACCCTGGGGGTATTCAAAATTTCGACGGCTTCATCGAAAGAAGTGTAAACATGGGCCAATAATAATTTTGCTAGACAAATCCTTGGTTGGCCAGTGTGAAGGAGGTAGGCAAGGTTATAAAGGTGGGTCGAAATTTGGATGGATCGAGGGCAAAAAACGTGGGTGCAAAGCTAGTATACCAAGAAGGCCACGTGCTCCTCATTAGAAATAGCCATTGTTGGATCATCGATAAAATGTTTCTCGAGAAAGTGTCCATAGGCTTTCGATTCCCAATCGATTTTGGACCTTAAGGAATTATCCGAAGGGAAAGCACCCTTATAATACTTCTCCCCTGTGGGCTTTAATCCGATAATTGCAGCGATTTCGAAAAGGGTGGGTGAAAGGGGACCACAAGGGAGTTCCAGTGCATGCAAGTCCTTATTCCAAAGATGGACAGCTGATAAGAACATAGCCATATCTAAAAAGGATAAATCACATCGAGACAGATGCAGGAAATCGAAGATCCCCACATCTCTCCAATGGTTCCCAAACTTGGTTTTTACTCGATCAAACCACCTAATATACAAGGGTTTTTTGTGGGGAGGGCATGTTCGGTATACTTTAGATACAATGTTCAGAAAGTCAATTCGAACTTCAGACTAATGAATAGGAGCCTTGCTCTCTGAAGAAAGATTGAGAGAAGAAGAAAATGATCCGCCACAGTAGCGGATAGGACCACCAAATGCATAACTTACATTTTCAGCAATGTAAGGGATAAGTACCTGGGTCTCAGCAATCCTTTGTGAAGCTTCCTCCATCAAAGGCACTGGAGCAAATTTTCTCCCATTAATTTCTATCAGGTTAGAGGTCACCGAGGAGACTGGTGGAGCAGAGAAATCAGAAGATTTTGAGGTGGTTGCCATTTCAGCCGGTAGAGAAGAGGAAGACGGAAGGTTGAAGATGAAGACAGGCAAATGAGGGAAAAGTGAGGTTTGTGGTAAAAAATAGGGGTAAAAAATTTATAAAAGTTTTTCAAGAAGTGGGTAGGGTATGCGAAACGGCGAATTGGAAAGTAGGTAAAAGCGTAGCAGCAGAAGTGATGTGACAGGTAACATAAATGAAGAAACCCTAAAACCCCAGAAACCCTAAACCCCCAGAAACCCTAAAGCCCTGGAAACCCTAAAAGTCCCAAGGAGTTATCTCGAGTTTTCAGGAACGATTAAGGGCGGGAGTCATATTTGGAAGAATATAAAAAATTAATATTCTTCTAGGGGGGCATCTGTTAGTAAAAGAAAAATCGATACCAGGATCGAAAGAACCAGAGAGAGAAAATCAAAAATCATATAGTTGGTTAAAAAATTGATAAGACTGGTAAAAGACACCTGGTGACCACAAAGATAAAAACACATCTATTGTTGAAAAGAATCGAGAAATTAGAATAGTGCAAAATTAAGAATTAAAGGGAATCAAAAGCAATTCAAAATACTCGATGTCTGAAATCGAGATCGAGGGAGCGGTTAACACGCACATAGAACATGGGAAGCAGTTTCTAAACTAAGGCTGAGATCGAAGATCAAGGGAGCAGTTCTCTTATGCGTGAGAACATGGAATGCAGTTTTTAAACCGTAAGACTAAGGGACGTGCACGTAGGATCGTGGTGACAGTTTTATTAACTACTCTTAGGAGGTCACTTGAAGGATGCTCTATAAATAGAGCGAAGACTTGAAAAAGAGAGGAAATTGGCAGAGACAACAGAAACACAAGTGAAAAAGTCTACCGGAGAACGACGAATCATGAAGTTTCTGGCGATCTAGGTTTCCATTTTCATTGATTGTCTGTATCGCTTTCTTTACTTTCCCTGGTAATTTATGTTCATGTAATTTACTTTGATGCAAGTTTACGTTTAGCAACTTTAAGTTTCTGCACTTTCAATTCCTTGTTATTTTACTTTTATGTAAGTTGAGATTCTGTGTTTAAGTTTTTCGCTATTTACATTTCTGCAATTTTGATTTCTTGTTATTTACATTTCTGCAATTTCGATTTCCTGTTATTTACATTCCTGCAATTTCGATTTCTCGCCATTTACACTTAATGCAAATTTGAGGTTTCCGTTTTTTACATTTCCCTGCAATTTGATATTCCGCACTGCTTTTCGATTCAACGCTTTCTTTACTTCGCATTTCTTAATAAAAAAACATCAAAAATAGTACTTTCTATACTCTAGGTCATGCCGGTTTACATTATAAGATTCTCGATCCCCATGCATTTTTCGATTGAAAACTATTTGCTAGCCTAAGTAAAAAGAATCTACATGGTTGATATTTGATTAGAACTTAACTCCCGATAAATCAAAATCGATCAAATTTTCACCAGAAACATATTGTCTAAAAGACAAGTATTTTATTTTGTTTTAAAATATAATTGTCCTACATTTTTACTAAAAAAAATCAATAGAAATCCGTTATCCACTACTACAAATAAAGCTTTCAACGTCGGTTCTGGAAGGCTTTCAACGTCGGTTGTTGAACCGACGTTGTATCAGGTGACGTTGAAAGTCGTAACTTTCAACGTCGGTTCTAATAAACCGACGTTGAAAGTATGATTTTTTAAATTAATAATTTTTATTTATTTACAACCCCTTTACCCCCTTTTATTTATTTAGAAGTCTTCTCTCTCTTTATATTATATTTTTATTAGGTCCTCCATCTCTTTATATTATATTTTTTAGAAGTTTATTAATTTCTTAAGAGAATTGTCATTGGCAGGATTCGAACTCGAGTACTTTAGAGTTGGAGACTCGATACTCCAACCACTAAACTACTAGAATTTTCCGATAATAACTTACAAATAAATTATATTTATATACAAATAAATATATATCCGTGTAAATATATAAATATATAAATACAAATATATTTATATATTTTGATATAGTTATATATTTATATGTTAGATGTGAGGGCACACTCGAAAGTGAAAGTGTGTGTCGAGTGGGTTTTCAAAATTTGATGTTAAATTTGTGAGCAGGTATCTTTATATGAGTTTGTAATTTAATGACAGAATATAATCTTTATAATTTTATTTATATAATGATATAAAATAAATTTGGGAAACGCGTTATTTGCTCTCAAGCGAAAAATACCAATTTTCGCTCATGCGAGACTTAGTAAGTGAATTTCAGTGAGCTTTAACATATTTTCACTCAAGCAAGAGTCAATCACACTTTCACCCTCAATCGAAAAATACCAATATAATTTATTTGTAAGTTATTATCAAAAAATTATAGTAGTTTAGTGATTGGGATATTAACTTTCAACCCTAAAATACTGGGTTCAAATGCTATCGATGACAATTCATTAACTTAAGAGAATTTTTAGCTGAAAATAAAAATAAAAATACTTTCCAGAAAATATATACAAATAAATATATATTTACATGGATATATATTTATTTGTATATAAATATAATTTATTTGTAAGTTATTATAAGAAAATTCTAGTAGGCTTAGTGGTTGGAGTATCGACTTCCAACTCTAAAGATCTTGGGTTCGAATCCTGCCAATGACAATTTTCAATAAAGTGAGTTTTTGAGTGAAAAAAAAATAAAAAATAAAAAGACTTTCAACGTCGGTTTATATGGGAACCGACGTAGAAAGTACATTCTACGTTAGTTGGCTAAGAACCGACGTAGAATGTGTTTAATATTCAACTTTCAACGTCGGTTCCCAGATGAACCGACGTGGAATAAAAAAAAAACTTTCAACGTCGGTTTATATGGGAACCGACGTAGAAAGTACATTCTACGTCGGTTGACTAAGAACCGATGTAGAATGTGTTTAATATTCAACTTTCAACGTCGGTTCATCTGGGAACCGACGTGGAAAGTACTTTCTACGTCGTCTCAGCTATAACCGACGTTAAATGACGACGTAGAAAGTATATTTTGTAGTAGTGATCATAATTTATTTTTAAAATCTCAATTAAAAAAACTATTTTTCAAAAATAATTTGAGTTTAAATATATAATAATGAGCTTTAGTTGATTAATATTATTAATATATATATATATATATATATAGAACTTAATATATAGATATCAATACAGTTATATAGTTTATTGAAACGTCTAAAAAATATGTAACTTATTTTAGATATTTATAAATTTAGTCAGGACTCTCCATTGTATAAATATTGTTATATGTTAAAATATAACAACATCAAATTACCAAATGTCATCACTATAATAAAACTTAAAAGACAGGTGGATCAAGTGAGAAGAAGACAGTGATCCAAGAACCAAACTTGTGTTTGGCTTGAACAATTAGGAACTAGAGATTTTTCATTTTTTTTAAAATAAAAAAACATTAATTTCATGTCGTTTACTAAACTAATTTATACAGGAAAAAATATACAAAATAAGGTGTCCAATTTCTATTTTCTAGTTCAATTTGGCTCAGCCAGATCCAATGGCTTGAAATATTTCCCATCTACTAGATAAGTTCCAATTCTGAGCCTCACAACCCAAACATCTTTGGGTTTTCTTGAAACAATCCTGCACCAAGTAACAACCCAATTGCTCGTTATAACCATTTAAGCTCACTAATTTACATACCATAGTCAAACAAATATATAGAAATTTCAACTAATTATCAATTGGCACCTCAATAGCTTAAATTACATAAGAAACAAAATTCTCTTCCTAGCACCATGATTATGATGATGAAAACTTATTTGAAAGTATAAATTTTCGTGATACTATTTCTTATTCTACCACTCATTCATTTGGAAGTGAGATCTACCCAAATTTTTAATGCCATTAACAACTTTTTATAATTTGAGAGACTATATATATATATATATATATATATATATATATATATATATATATATATATATATATATATATATATATAACTAGCAACAATTTCTCAAACAATCTCTTTCTAATGTTCTTTTAGTATTGATAACAATTCATTTGAAATTACAAGTTTTGGTAGATTTCACAATGATTTTATGATCTAGAAGTGAGTAATTAAATTTTGTAATTTCAATAATTTTAGTCAATAATAAAGAGAGTGTTAAAAAAATGTTTGAGAAACTATTACTAACATTAATTCTTGTTTGTAAAAATTTAATTATCAAATTATTAATTTTTGTTAGCTGATAGATTAAAAACTTACAATCTGCATGAAAATAAAATCTATTATTATTTATACGAATAAAATTAACATATTTTCCTTTTTCTTGAATTAAGGTTGGGTTAGGATAAATTTATTAGTTTTTTTATTAACATTTTATCATTTTAATAGTTTTTATTTTAAATTATTCTTAATTACTTATTATCTTCTCTCTATAATAAATATAATTAAAGAAATAATGATATAATTAATAAAAATAATTAGTGTAACATTAAACTTTATAAACCAATGTATTTCCAAACAATTTTTTCTAATATATTTTAAAATAAAGGAAATATAAAGAATTGAGTTGGAAGAAAAGTTAAGAGGATGATTAGGTAAAATACCTTCCAACATCACCAGCTTTGACTTGGCCAGTATTAACCCTAAGGGAGGGCATATTAGCTGCAGTCTTGATCATCTTGGGAGCTTCAATGAAAATGATGGGAGACCCTATCTCCAACTTGGACCCTTTTTCTGGCAACTCTGAAGACTCTCTTGATGCACACTTTATCAAAGCTAAAACACCATTTTGCCTCTGAACTGCATGCTTCAAGCTTTGGACCCTCAAAAATGGTTTTGTGAGTGCACAAGAAGAAAGGGAAAAAGCCATGCTCACTATACTTTTATAGTCCTCCAAATTGAACACTGCAAAATGCACCAATGAATATGGCTTTTTCAAAATTGTTGTCTCAACATGGTTCTGAACTGTAGTGGATACTACAAAACTAATTATTGAACTCACCAAAACCAAAAATTCTTTTGCAGGTTGCAAACTTTTCCCCAGAGCCTTTTCTCTTCAACTATTTGGGGTTAGAACAATTTTAGTCAATCGGGTATGGTTGCATGTTTTGTGAGAGTTCTCTACTCATTTGTGGTGCATGTTTGTGGAAGGAAATTTGGATAGAAAGATAATACAAAAGAAAAAATATCTTTGGATACCTTCTTTTTTTTCTTTTCTATTGTTTGGTTTAGCTGGCAACTTTGGAAAGTAGGACCAAGTGAAAAATATATTATAATGTACACGTTATGCTGACACTACAGCATAGTGTCTCAGGATAGTTATAAGCAAAGGGTTTATATATATAAGATCAATAACAACACGGCAAATGAAGTCTTCCAAAAATTTCTGAAAATGTCAAATTGAAAGATGCTGGAAGAAGAAAAAAAAAAAGTTTTATCACTAAACTTAAAACTAAATAAAATTTTCAGAAATCTGGTCATTTATATTATATAAAAATAGTGGAATACTTATGTTCTTTTATCTATTGGACATATTTTAAATAAAGTATGATATATGAGTAAGTGTATGTTATTTTATTTTTAAAATTAAACAAGACTCTAAAATTTTTGAAAATTAATTAAAATAATATTTTAAAATACAATTTTTACTATTTATTTAAGTATATAAAATATGTTTTTATATAAGTGAAAATAAAATAAATAAAAGTGTTATAGTTTAAAGAAAAATAATTATTATGATTTATATATTAAAAAATAATAAAAATATGAAAAATAGAAAAAAAAATAGAGCATAAAGTGTATATATTTAAAGAGTAAAAAATAAAAATAAAAGAAACCAGGATAAAAAAAATGTAAAAACACATTCCCTCTTATTTAAAACATTATTATTTTAGTAGAAATTATGTTTTAAAATATAACATATCCATGCGTGTAATTTATTTAAAAATACTCATTTTAATATTATCATTTTTTTAAAATTACTTCTAAACCGGAAAGAAAAATTCGATGACGTTTAGAATGGAATAATGAAATACTTCTTATGAGGTGATGTGGAGGTGATGTCATGACTCTACATAGAGCTATTGATATTTTTATGAGTTATACCCAAAATTGTAATTTTCTTTTCAATCTTTTTTATTAAAGTCATCAACATTTATCTTGCTAAAATTTAATATTATATCTTTATTTACGTTTACATTTTATTATATTAATTATAAAAATGTTATAATAATAAATATATACGTATAATTATATATAAATAGGATTTTTAAAAAATAAAAAATCATTATAATTTAAAGAATAAATCATTATTATAATTTATATGTTCAAAAAATAATAAAATATATGATAAAGAGAAAAAAGTTTATATATTTGAAAGTGAAAAAAAAAATTAAAAAATTAATTATAAAAAATGTAGACAGCCCATACTTAGTATTTCTACTGTAACTATAATATATTTAAATCTATAAATTTATATATTTTTTTAATTTATTATTTAATTTTAAATTGTTTTAACAATATCATAAATTAAAAATTTGTATAACTATTAGTCATGGTTAAAAAAATCCATAAATCACAAATGAGTTTAAGTAATGAATTTATTTATAAAATAAATATTTCGCACAATAATGATTTAAGTTTCCAAAATTGTTATAATAATATATTAGAGCAACTTCAAAGGGGTCGCTTCTGGTCTCAATTGCTTATAAACAATGGTGCTTATAGGAAACTGGAGTTGGAATAATATGAAGCAATGTTCCTAAGAGTTATTTTTTCTATTTTTTTTAGTTTGTTCCCGTGGTTCTCACAAACATTTTATTTTTAATTATTTTTAATTTAAATATATTATTTATTATATTTTAATAATTAATTATATATTATAATTATTATTGACATGGCATAACGTGATCCCATTAAAATCAAAAGTGGTAGTTGAATAGTGAGTTATTTATAAGAACCCACCATTGAAGTAAATTTATAAAAAAAATTGAAGAAAATTGCTTAAATATGATGTGGTACTCTGAGTCCCAATTAATAATCCACCATTGAAGATGCTCTTACACTAATATATATATATATGGTAATTAGTTATTTAAAATTATTATAATATATCAAAATATTGCTAATATAACAAATATTTCATATTTTTTTATGTAATAAGTGTTTTTAATATGAGTTAATATTCTTGCGACTTTATTTTATACTTTTAAATTTCACTATTCATTCAGATATTTTATTTTTTAAATCAACTCGTCTTTTATATTTTTTTTCAAGTATATTGATTTTACCAAGTGTGATTAATTAATTTAAGATTTCTAAATTTAAATTATTATTATTATTAAGAGTTCGCAAAAGTCAACAGACATGAAAAATATATAAATTTAAAAAGAATTGAGTTGTTATTATAATTTATTAAGGAAAATCATGTAAAAATATTTTTATAAAATGGTATTCGAAACTATATTTGATCTAGAGTTGATTATGCGTAAAAATGTATTAATACCCTACGATACTTATTGATGTCATTAATTAAACGTGCAAAATAATGTCAATCATTAAAAATATGTATTTTTCACTAAACGTTAGATAAAGAAAGAAACAACAGAGAAAAGAAACAGAATTGAAAAATATATTTGTGGGATCCAATAAGAATTAACCTTATTTCTATCTATTTTTATTCAGAATGAAAAATTAAGATTAGTTAATTTTTTTAAGAAAAAGTTTGATGCCATAGATTAATGTTTTAAAACTTTTTGGTATTTTCAGAAGAGATTTATATTTTTAAAATAGAGATGTGAAGGGTAAGACAGTGACCTACCATATACTCCGAATAATTTATTTTTATTTTTGAAGAAAATACTTTATTTTGATAACTTAGACAACACGTGCTACCATAATTATATCTCAAAATTATTTATTAAAAAAGATTTTTATATATATAAAAAAAAAAAAAAACATTAGACATAAGACCGTGTAAACACATATCTGTCTAAATGACTTTAATACATAAAAAGAATATAAACGGTACATACAAGGATAAGGCCCAAAGTCACCAAATTGAATAACAAAAGGATCAAAAGTCAATATTATCAACATTCAAATGCGTGGCCCTAAATCAGTAACGTCTAAAATAAAATTGAACCAGTGTAGTGAATACAAACAATATCAATCCAAATTATAGTCCAATTTGAAAAGTTTAAATTGCAAAGTTCCATTTAAGAGATACAAGTAGAACAGATAACAGTACTAAACATAAAAATCAAAACTAAATAAACCCATCAGAACCAATCGAACCCATTAGAACTGTCGCCGCCTCCTTGAGGAGGGGGCGCGGTCGGAGCGACGCGATGATTTTTCGACTCTTTTTGATTTTTCGCGTTTTTTATTGGTGGTTACAACGTCCTTAGGTTGTCCGATAACCGGGCTAACCTAGAGACGAGGTTTTCGAAAAGTGTCCTTGAGTTGTCCGACAACCGGGCTAACCCAAGGACTTATTTTGGGTTCTATGGAGTCGCCACCGATATTTTTACCATAAACATCGGAAAAGGGGTTTTGAAAAGGTGTTGGTTTTCGAAAACCAACTTTGGTCATTAGAACCAAAGTTGGGTAAGGGAGTTAGTTACGTGTAAAGGGAGTATTAGTCCCTTTACGACGCCCCTTTCGGGTTCCCTATGATAGGCCGGCTATTTGCGAATAATTAAACTTGGAAAATTGCGCTTTTACCCTTTTATTATGCGGTATTTAAATATGTGACTACATTGCCCTAGCTTCTATTGCATAATTTAAATAACAGTAATTTTAAAGAATAGAGAATGAGGATATGCACCTCCAAAGCAAGCTTTATATTCAAAAAGATGGTGCGTTTTGGCAACCCTTCACTCTACACTCTCAGAAACTCCGGAAATGCCTCGGAGGGATTCTTAAGAAGATTTAGAACGCTTAGTCTATGCCTAAAGACGCTCAGAAACTCCAGAAATGCCTCGGAGGGATTCTTAGAGAGAGAAAATCTAGAGAGAAGGGAGAGCTCTTGTTGCTTTTTCTTTTTTTTTGTGGAAATGAGGGGGGGAGAACCCCTATTTATAGTTTTTCGTGTTGTCAGGGTCCAGACCACCGTTCTCGTCTGACAGGGTCGAGACCGCCGTCTCGTAATTCGAGACCGCCGTCTCGCTCATGTCACGGGGTCGAGACCGCCGTCTGGAAAATCCAGACCGCCGTCTCGACTTGGCGAGAATCGAGACCGCCGTCTGGAAAACCCAGACCGCCGTCTGGTTTTTCCGAGTGTCGAGACCGCCGTCTGGAAAATCGAGACGGCGGTCTCGTCCTGGCGTTGAAACGAGACGGCGGTCTGGTATTCCCAGATGGCGGTCTCGTCCCTTCAGGGCGAGAAACTTTATTTTGGGCCAAAAAACCTTCCTATCTTGGTACGGGAGCCTAATAGTCTCTCCTAGTGGCTTGTTAAGCTCCGGTCGTCTTCAAATAGGAAGCTTTCTGACTTTATTTGGAGGTCGGACAAGATTTGGGGTCTACAGCTGCCCCCCCTTTACCTGACTAGTCAACTGTTGGCCTGTTGTGCCAGACAGATTGACAGGAAGGTAAAGGAGTTGTCCCTCTTGCCCGGCTACCCTTCGGACGTCCCGTCTTGTGGCGGATGATCCTCTGGGGAGATGTTGTGTTTGTGCGCCTCTAGGATACTACTCTTGACGTAGCCGATCCCTTTGGTTGACACGTGGTAGAACCTCCGGATACTACTCTTGACGTAGCCGATCCTTCGGTTGATGAGTGGTAGAACCTCCGGATACTACTCTTGACGTAGCCGATCCTTCGGTTGATGGGTATAAACCCCCATCGAGTCGGTAGTTGCGATCCGTT